ACGGATTATAGAGTAAACAAGTGGTGTTAGTACGGATTATAGAGTAAACAAGTGGTGTTAGTACGGGTTATAGAGTAAACAAGTGGTGTTAGTACGGATTATAGAGTAAACAAGTGGTGTTAGTACGGGTTATAGAGTAAACAAGTGGTGTTAGTACGGATTATAGAGTAAACAAGTGGTGTTAGTACGGGTTATAGAGTAAACAAGTGGTGTTAGTACGGATTATAGAGTAAACAAGTGGTGTTAGTACGGGTTATAGAGTAAACAAGTGGTGTTAGTACGGATTATAGAGTAAACAAGTGGTGTTAGTACGGGTTATAGAGTAAACAAGTGGTGTTAGTACGGATTATAGAGTAAACAAGTGGTGTTAGTACGGGTTATAGAGTAAACAAGTGGTGTTAGTACGGATTATAGAGTAAACAAGTGGTGTTAGTACGGGTTATAGAGTAAACAAGTGGTGTTAGTACGGATTATAGAGTAAACAAGTGGTGTTAGTACGGGTTATAGAGTAAACAAGTGGTGTTAGTACGGATTATAGAGTAAACAAGTGGTGTTAGTACGGATTATAGAGTAAACAAGTGGTGTTAGTACGGATTATAGAGTAAACAAGTGGTGTTAGTACGGATTATAGAGTAAACAAGTGGTGTTAGTACGGATTATAGAGTAAACAATTGGTGTTAAGAAGGATTATAGAGTAAACAAGTGGTGTTAGTACGGGTTATATAGTAAACAAGTTGTGTTAGGACGAATTATAGAGTAAACAATTGGTGTTAGGACGGATTATAGAGGAAACAAGTGGAGTTAGTACGGGTTATATAGTAAACAAATGGGGTTAGTACGGGATATAGAGTAAACAAGTGGTGTTAGTATGGGTTATAGAGTAAACAAGTGGGGTTAAGAAGGATTATAGAGTAAGTGGTGTTAGTACGGATTATAGAGTAAACAATTGGGGTTAGGACGGATTATAGAGTAAACAAGTGGTGTTAGTACGGGTTATATAGTAAACAAGTGGTGTTAGGACGAATTATAGAGTAAACAAGTGGTGTTAGTACGAGTTATAGAGTAAACAAGTGGTGTTAGTACTGATTATATAGTAAACAAGTGGCGTTAGTACTGATTATATAGTAAACAAGTGGTGTTTGTATGGGTTATAGAGTAAACAAGTGGTGTCAGTACGAGTCATAGAGTAAACAAGTGGTGTTAGGACGGATTATAGAGTAAACAAGTTGTGTTAGTACGAGTTATAGAGTAAATAAGTGGTGTTAGTACGAGTTATAGAGTAAACACGTTGTGTTAGTACGAGTTATAGAGTAAACAAGTGGTGTTAGTACTGATTATATAGTAAACAAGTGGCGTTAGTACTGATTATATAGTAAACAAGTGGTGTTTGTATGGGTTATAGAGTAAACAAGTGGTGTCAGTACGAGTCATAGAGTAAACAAGTGGTGTTAGGACGGATTATAGAGTAAACAAGTTGTGTTAGTACGGGTTATAGAGTAAACAAATGGTGTTAGTACGGATTATATAGTAAACAAATGGTGTTAGTACGGGTTATATAGTAAACAAGTTGTGTTAGGACGAATTATAGAGTAAACAAGTGGTGTTAGTACGGATTATAGAGTAAACAAGTGGTGTTAGTATGGGTTATAGAGTAATCAAGTGGTGTTAGAGTAAACAAGTGGTGTCAGTACGAGTTATAGAGTAAACAAGAGGTGTTAGGACGGATTATAGAGTAAACAAGTGGTGTTAGTATGGGTTATAGAGTAATCAAGTGGTGTTAGAGTAAACAAGTGGTGTCAGTACGAGTTATAGAGTAAACAAGTGGTGTTAGGACGGATTATAGAGTAAACAAGTGGTGTTTGTACGGGTGATATAGTAAACAAATGGTGTTAGTACTGATTATATAGTAAACAAGTGGTGTTAGTACTGGTTATATAGTAAACAAGTGGTGTTAGTATGGGTTATAGAGTAAACAAGTGGTGTCAGTACGAGTTACAGAGTAAACAAGTGGTGTTAGGACGATGTATAGAGTAAACAAGTGGTGTTAGTACTGATTATATAGTAAACAAGTGGTTTTAGTATGGGTTATAGAGTAAACAAGTGGTGTCAGTACGAGTTACATAGTAAACAAGTGGTGTTAGGACGATGTATAGAGTAAACAAGTGGTGTTAGTACTGATTATATAGTAAACAAATGGTGTTAGTACGGGTTATAGAGTAAACAAGTTGTGTTAGTACGGGTTATAGAGTAAACAAATGGTGTTAGTACGGATTATATAGTAAACAAATGGTGTTAGTACGGGTTATAGAGTAAACAGGCGGTGTTAGTACGGATTATAGAGTAAACAAGTTGTGTCAGTACGGGTTATAGAGTAAACAAGTGGTGTTAGGACGGATTATAGAATAAACAAGTTGTGTTAGTACGGGGTATAGAGTAAACAAGTGGTGTTAGGACGGATTGGTGTTAGTACGGGTTATATAGTAAACAAATGGTGTTATTACGGGTTATATAGTAAACAAATGGTGTTATTACGGGTTATATAGTAAACAAATGGTGTTAGTACGAGTTATAGAGTAAACAAGTGGTGTTAGTACGAGTTATTGAGTAAACAAATGGTGTTAGTACGAGTTATAGAGTAAACAAATGGTGTTAGTACGAGTTATAGAGTAAACAAGTGGTGTTAGGACGGATTATATAGTAAACAAATGGTGTTAGTATGGGTTATAGAGTAAACAAGTGGTGTTAGTACGGGTTATATAGTAAACAAGTGGTGTTAGTACGAGTTATAGAGTAAACAAGTGGTGTCAGGACGGATTATAGAGTAAACAAGTGGTGTTAGTACTGGTTATATAGTAAACAAGTGGTGTTAGTACGAGTTATAGAATAAACAAGTGGTGTTAGTACGAGTTATAGAATAAACAAGTGGTGTTAGTACGAGTTATAGAGTACACAAGTGGTGTTAGTACGAGTTATAGAGTACACAAGTGGTGTTAGTACGAGTTATAGAGTAAACAAGAGGTGTCAGGACGGATTATAGAGTAAACAAGTGGTGTCAGGACGGATTATAGAGTAAACAAGTGGTGTTAGTACTTGTTATATAGTAAACAAGTGGTGTTAGTATGGGTTATAGAATAAACAATTGGTGTCAGTACGGATTATAGAGTAAACAAATGGTGTTAGTATGGGTTATAGAGGGTGTTAGTACGGATTATAGAGTAAACAATTGGTGTTAGTACGGATTATAGAGTAAACAAGTTGTGTTAGTACGGGTTATATAGTAAACAAATGGTGATAGTACGGGTTATAGAGTAAACAAGTGGTGTTAGTACTGGTTATATAGTAAACAAGTGGGGTTAGTATGGGTTATAGAGTAAACAAGTGGTGTTAGGACGGATTATAGAGTAAACAAGTGGTGTCAGGACGGATTATAGAGTAAACAAGTGGTGTTAGGACGGATTATAGAGTAAACAAGTGGTGTTAGTACGGATTATAGAGTAAACAAGTTGTGTTAGTACGGATTATAGAGTAAACAAGTGGTGTCAGGACGGATTATAGAGTAAGCAAGTGGTGTTAGTACTGGTTATATAGTAAACAAGTGGGGTTAGTATGGGTTATAGAGTAAACAAGTGGTGTTAGTCCGGGTTATATAGTAAACAAATGGTGTTAGTATGGGCTATAGAGTAAACAAGTGGTGTTAGTACGGGGTATAGAGTAAACAATTGGTGTTTACGGGTTATATAGTAAACAAATTGTGTTAGTGTTAGTACGAGTTATAGAGTAAACAAATGGTGTTAGTACGAGTTATAGAGTAAACACGTGGTGTTAGTACGAGTTATAGAGTAAACAAATGGTGTTAGTACGGGTTATATAGTAAACACATGGTGTTAGTACGGGTTATAGAGTAAACAAATGGTGTTAGGACGGGTTATAGAGTAAACAAATGGTGTTAGGACGGGTTATAGAGTAAACAAATGGTGTTAGTACGAGTTATAGAGTAAACACGTTGTGTTAGTACGAGTTATAGAGTAAACAAGAGGTGTCAGGACGGATTATAGAGTAAACAAGTGGTGTCAGGACGGATTATAGAGTAAACAAGTGGTGTCAGGACGGATTATAGAGTAAACAAGTGGTGTCAGGACGGATTATAGAGTAAACAAGTGGTGTTAGTACAGATTATAGAGTAAACAAGTTGTGTTAGTACGAGTTATAGAGTAAACAAGTGGTGTTATTACGGGTTATAGAGTAAACAAATGGTGTTAGTACGGGCTATAGAGTAAACAATTGGTGTTTACGGGTTATATAGTAAACAAATTGTGTTAGTGTTAGTACGAGTTATAGAGTAAACAAATGGTGTTAGTACGGGTTATAGAGTAAACAATTGGTGTTTACGGGTTATATAGTAAACAAATTGTGTTAGTACGAGTTATAGAGTAAACAAGTGGTGTTAGTACGGGTTATAGAGTAAACAAATGGTGTTAGTACTGTTTATATTTGTGTAACACCTGCACTTTAAGTGTTTTCCCTTTTCAAGCAGGCAAACGTCAATCTTTTCCTGTTATAACAGCTCGTTGTTTGAGGATCACTCACATAAAGTACACTAAGTGAATTGATAATATCATGAGGCATCGATCCGCTTTGATTCTGTATTGGCGGAGTCATAGTCTAAATGTGTGAATCAAGGAGTCAGAATTGTCACCGACAAACACCACCTCCCGCGCGCTCTTGTCACCTTTGTAACGGACGCGCTCTGTCTTTTTATGATGCTAATTAATTTTTGACGATATCAATAACTAAAATCGGAGGTCTTTGTCCATTTAGGACCATTATGGCAACAGATGTGACAGAGTCAGACTGGATCGATAAAACGGCCTGAGCTGTAACCAATATGACATTGTCACAATACAGTAATACCCAGATTATAAAACGACAGTCGTTATTGATTTATTGTCCGCCATTAAAATATGTCCCGCAGTTATTTTAAGTCAACAACAAGATCAACTTCAAGATGTCTTGGAGTAAGTTAAGGCTGAGTGGTGAAAGTTACTCAGCCGTAGCGCGATCGATTCGCTTGGTTGACTTGTCAGTAGTTTTCTGAATGAAGGTTGGGCGAATGCATTGTGCCGGGGCCGTCAGTCGCTCGTCAGTCGTCGAGGGTAGCAGAGCTAGTGTTGTAAGGTACGGACGGCACAGTACAACCATTGCACACGACAGTTTCGGATACTCGCATGCCATTTATCGCTACGAGGGAGAAATAGTGCAGACCCAAGCGGTGTTTGTGGATTACATATCCGAGTGAAACAGCAGCGATATCGGGAGCTCCTACCTCACTACAAATCTAGCATGGCCCCAGTACGTGTTATGTTGGGTGTAGTCGTGTCGTGTCTATTACTGGGTCTGACCCGGGCCCAGGGATGTGCAAAGGATATAAATATGGAAGGGAATGTTCTCTTCGAGAGAATGACACATGTCTCGGACGCAGTTGTCTCCGGAAAGGTATTGTCCATAGGAAGTGGCAGGGAGGCTTCCGTTCAACTTGATTGTATATACAAGACAGACGGCAGTAGAACCAACAGGGATATTACAGTCTTACAAAGTAAGTTTCTAACTATTTTGTGAACATTTCATGTACCGGTACCTTTCAGTACCTTTCAGTACCTCTTACCTGAGTGTTAAATGTTATGGCATATATACTTTAATAAATATACAATTATTAAGTTTCTAATGAAGGTTGACTTTTTCAAGAGCGAACTCCCCATCCCCTATCTCTGGTGCCACACCAGCCCCTCTCTGACCCCACCCTGATAACGGCAAACATCTGCCAATTGTACTGTGGCCGCTGGGAGACGATATACCTACATGGGGAAGCCACGCTCTAGATCTTTACCAGGGAGGGGCGTGGTCGCCACGAGGTTGTCTGTCACACCGCTACACGGCTGAGGATGCTGAGAAACTTCCCAGGAATCGTGACAAGATCGTGATATTGTCTACATTAGTATCGATCGAACTAGTGGTAATTGATTTCAATTAATTTTTACCCATACAACTATGTGTACAAAGTAAACGTTGTATGTTACAATATAACAACTTGCTTGTTTACCAAGTTTTCGCCTCCGAGGCCGCTGGCTGTGTGTGATCAGGTGTGTCGGCAGAAGGCGTGACAAAGCAACCGATTAACTTCCGTGTCCAGCATTGTCATCATGCTGACAGATGTTGACTTTAGGGGACGGAAAAGTATTTTCAAACTGACCACTGGTCTATGCGGGCCTTTTTTCTGTGACAACTTTTTTTTCTCCCAGACCGACGTTTTGCATGCTTTCTTTACGCGAGGAATACCAGTTGAAGACATAACGAAATAATATATACGGGACACACGTGTGTAATGATTTAATTAATACAGTTCAAGTTAAAACCCAGTTACGGTCTGTGGTGTAACAATTAAGTGTTCCCAAACTGAATACTAATGTGCACATGTCAAAGCCATTGTCGAGTGTTGTAGTCTCCTTGACCGTGGAGTTTTCCTATAACTTTTGGTGAGCGCGAATATGAGCGAGGTTGACGTTGATAGGCAGGAATTATAGATGGAAATAAATTGAAAAGTTTGAAGGTCGGATACTGATCGTTATAACTGGAAACAATGGTTCACCTTGGGGACAAACGTTAGCTGTTGCCTGTTGACACGAAAGATGGAGGACATTGGTTATACGTCAGTGACTTCATTATTTGATATACATATTTCAATGTCAATCCCCGTATTGAACATTTGTACATGTCTGGAACAAGGTCAACGTTATATAACCACGTGCTCGTCTACAGATTTCTCAAGGTCGTTTAGACGAAATAAGCGCTGGAGTATATAAAAAAAACTTGAAATCTTTAGACCGCATATAACATGCTCACCCTATACAATAGTGATCTTTAATCTTGCATGCTCACCCTATACAATAGTGATATTCCGTGCTCTCGCCTCGTTACCTCGGTTGTGGCGTTAGCACCAAAGCGATCAGAAAAGAATAAAATGTGTATGTAAAACTGGCATTGAGTTTTAAAACTAATGGCGTGTCGGTTGTGAAGGGGACGGTGTAGTTGGGGAAACACACTCCGCCACACGACATTGGCCACCTAATGGCTTCACGCGCGTTTCATTCCATCTGTGACTTCTGACGAGTTGTGAAACTTGAGGAGTTTTATTACATTTAAGTCTGTTCCAGTGTGAAGGTCACCAGGGAGACCATTAGATACAGATCGGCCTGCTGGGAACCAATGTACCAAGACGACCCACACTGCAAACCGGAAGTGATTAGAAAAATCTAAAGTGTCTAATATTATGTTTACCACTTTACGCTAAAAACAATATCACATATAATATTGTATATATATATTATATCAGGTTATGAATAGCTTTGGCGTTTGCAAAAGCATGCGCTTGGTTAATTTAAAGAAAGTTCTTATAATCAATACCACGTGTATCTGGTATTCTGCTTAGGAACTGGTATGTCTAGAACTTGTCGAGCGACAGAACTATTTTAAGAAAAAATCCGTGGCATTCCGAAACACCAGCTAGAGGTCCTCTCCCATACCCTCGTCACCCTTCCCCACCCACTAAGGTCCCGGGCTGTAGAATGTCGTCATGTGCACAGGCTCTTTTACTTCAGAATAAATAAGCATGAGTTGAGAACAACGGGCGGACCCACGCATACCAAAAATAAAAAAAGCATGTCAAGGCGGTGATTGCACGTGAGTTTGTTAGGCTGCTAGAGTCGTTACCGCCGGGAGCCCCAAGTGTGGTACCAATATATCATTGCGGCACCGCCTTACAGACCAGCGAGGTGCCTATTGTTGTGCATTGACTAGTATATGTATATGGCTGTCCAGTAAATACTTTGTATTAGCAACATCTTCGAATACACAGATGAATGCAATGTATGATTGGCACTAGTATACATTTGCCGAACTACTGTTCAGCTGTGAAAACAATACAAGAGACAAATTATCTACAACAGTAAATAAAAATGGAACATCGACTTTCTAGCTTTCGTTGCCTGTGCCATAGAGCTACTCGTTCGTAGTCAGATTCCCGCCAGACACGTCAACATGCTAGCATCATGCATTGCCCAGAACTGCATGTGCATTTTGCTTACGCCCTCCAACACGTGTTTACGTCAATCCACGTCCTGTACACGAAACAACCTGTCACCACCTGTGATTTGACAGTTTCGTACAAAAGAAACGTTCATAAAAGTCAACTTAAATATTGGAAGTTTCGTGTGCCGGTCAGAGTGGTGACATATGGTTTTGATTGAAATCTGCTTGAAAGGCAGATTATGTATATTTGTAAATTCGATGCATATATATCTGTGAATGAATTCGTTACATTAACGTAGATTGTTCCTATTATAGCTGTATCTCTCGTGCCCGAAGTGCGGTTGGTTCATGTTTACACGCAGGCTCGTCCTTTTCTTTATGAAGAGTTGACAGATTGTGAAATTGCTGCAGAATTAGTCCCCCTAGAGGAAGTGAACAATTACGACAGAGAAGAGTTAAAATAACCCTGTTCGGTCAATTACATATGATAACAAGATTTTAATAACATCACAATCGGTTGACTGTGTAACTGGCTAGTTCACGACGACCTTCGAGTTCGCTTGTCATCGTTTCTAGTAACACAATTCGCATACCACTAAAGCACATTCATTACTTCGAATAGGAACATGCAGTTTTGTGGCCCAAATCTTTGATTTTGCTTTCAATACTAAGGACCCTTTTTCTGGCGTTGTATTGTTAAGAACATTGCCTGGTGTATCAGTTTCCGTGTGAATAAGCACAGAACGGGTACAGGTATAGGGTCTGTGAAGGCCTATTTTTTGGGGTGGGAGCATTGTCCGTTTAAATGGTCGCCTTCCGAATTATCCTCGCCTGTTAGGAATGTCGCGTCAACACATGACAAACTGTGAGTTGTCGGAACTAATCAGGCTTGTATACCATTAAGATAACCTTTCTCTGGGGAACCGAAAGGGTAAGAATAATTCTGTACAGGAAAAAAAAATACCAAAAAATATGTGATCGAGAGCAAATGTAGCGGAAACACAGATAAAGGGCAGGGCAATAACGTCAGAATGTTAACGGCTGTCTCACTGTGTCGGAAGTGTCAACAGCTTTCTCGCCTACAATTACTCAGGTCAGATGTAATATTTAATATAATAGCATCTGTCTGTCTGTTTTTGGTTATTGCACTTTCGCGATTTTGGGGTGATTTTAGCTCGTAGTACCGCGACGTCCTTTAGTTTTAACACGTGTAACTACAGCAAGGCGAGAACACGTGACGGGGCATGACTTCAGTCGATCCACTTTTGAAAGCAAATTAACCAATTAGAATCGAGATAACATCTGTCGTCGGTAGAGCCAAACGACATTGTTCAATAGTATCCTCCAAACAGAAACGAACCGTATTATAATCACCGAGTGGAATCAGAAAAAAACGAATTCTTTCATCTGCGTGTTTATTTGGCCTGTAGAATATGGGGTTGTTATATTAAGCTCCTCAGCACGTGCAGGCAATGAAATTAATATCTCCCGCGGGCACTTGCGTGCGCGCTCGGCTATTATGGAATTTGAATAACAAAGTGAAGTATCCATTATTGTGTCCCTCCTCCGTAGCCACGGCGACTGTATGTGTTTGGGAGTAGGATGCCCGGGTTGGAGGAAGGGAAAGTAGGGTGGCCGGGTTGGAGGAGGGGGAAGTGGGTGGGGTTAAGTGGGGGACGACACTGATAACTTCAGTCTCAATCTAGCTTATGTAACAGATGTCACAGTAGACAACTGTGGCCCAACCGATTAAAACAAAACCGAAACCTAAGTGCGGTATTAAGTTTTTACAGGTACAAAAAGTGCCTAGTATTTACGGTTTCTATTGTATAACCAGGAAGAAATGTGTAAAAACGACGTTATCGATCTGTTAGCTACAGTTGGTCTGGAAATATTCGCCAAATTTGCATTCTCATTCAAAGATCCAATAATCTATTGTACTTGTTAGGTGAACTTGGTTGTCGAAATGCTGAGATAATCCTAGTATCATGTATCATGTCAATATTCCAAGGCAGATTTATCCACGATATACATGTCGGATCGATATCGAGTTTTACTAGCAGGGCCGTCTATGGGAAATCAATCTAGGTACAAACTTTCCTGTCACCGTAATACTGACTTGATTATATACAATGCTGTCAACTTCCGGTTTCCTTACAACGCCAGAAATTTGCCTCTACCCGATGAAATGGTTCTTTGTCCAGGATATATTCTGGTCTATATCCCCGATGTAATGGTTCGTTGTCATGGATATATTCTGGTCTATATCCCTCCCTGATGTAATGGTTCCTTGTCAAGGATATATTCTGGTCTATATCTCCGATAATAGGTTCCTTGTCCAGGATATATCCTGGCCTATATTCCCGATAATAGGTTCCTTGTCCAGGATATATTCTGGTCTATATCCCCGATAATAGGTTCCTTGTCTAGGATATATTCTGGTCTATATCCCTGATGTAATGGTTTCTTGTCCAGGATACATACTATCCCTGATGTAATGGTTCCTTGTCC